ACACACACAGGTATCTGATAGAGATGTAAAGTTATGACAGGTATCACATGAAACCCCTGTAAACACACACACAGGTATCTGATGCAGATTTCAGTTAGGACGGGAATCTCATGAAACCCCTGTAAACACACACACAGGTATCTGATGCACATGTACAGTTAGGACAGGTATCGCATGAAACCCCTGTAAACACACACAGGTATCTGATGCAGATGTACAGTTAGGACAGGTATCGCATGAAACCCCTGTAAACACACACACAGGTATCTGATGCAGATGTAAAGTTATGACAGGTATCGCATGAAACCCCTGAAAACACACACACACAGGTGTCTGATGCAGATGTAAAGTTATGACGGGTATCGCATGAAGCCCCTGTAAACACACACAGGTATCTGATGCACATGTACAGTTAGGACGGGTAACGCATGAAGCCCCTGTAAACACACACACAGGTATCTGATGCAGATGTAAAGTTAGGACCGGTATCTCATGAAACCCCTGTAAACACACACACAGGTATCTGATGCACATGTACAGTTAGGACGGGTATCTCATTAAATGAAGTTTTATTAACTAAGTTCGGGAGGAGCACGTTCAGATAATTGACACGAGTGGACAGCAATCAGCAATCAATGATAAGAGGGTACAAATAGACTCAGCAGTCTTACCTCCATCCATTGACAGTTTGCAGCATCCCTCCTCCACCCCTTCTCCACACTCCTAGTTCTCCACACTCCTCTTTCTAAAAATCACTTACATATGGGGGGAGTACTCTGGGTTTGGGCAAAATTCCGAGCTCGGAGCCCTCCTTCCGGACAGCACGCCAAATATGCATTGAATCTTACTCACTCAAAATTATATGTAGTGTGAACTCGTGAAACCCCTGTAAACACACACACAGGTATCTGATGCACATGTACAGTTAGGACAGGAATCACATGAAACCCCTGTAAACACAAACACGGGTATCTGATGCAGATTACAGTTAGGACAGGTATCACATGCACATATGCCATTTTTATAACTGACAGTACATTTCACCAGTTACCTGTCTTTGAATCATGGAATTAGTGAAAACAAGTGCAGGACTTTTATTCATATTGTATTACATTCTGGGTTGACAAATAATTCTGGTCAATAGAGAAAGGTTAATGTCATCCACTTTTAACTTCAATATAGCTACAACACAGTTTATTTTATTCGTTTCTTTTTATAATTTTGTTAAATGTGTGCCAGGGATCATGGCGTATTCCAATATTTCTGGTTGTTTAATAGCGAGATTGTGTAATATTAGCGTGTGACTTTGAAATAATTAACTTTGACATGACATAAAAAATTAATTTTAACCGGATTGTTTCTTAGCGACAAAAACGAAAACCATTGGTGTAATGTTATCCTCAATACACTTAGCGCGGGGAAAAAAAAGAAAAAAAAAACACTTAGCGTGCATGTCCGGTGACCTATGGAAATTTGTATTTAGGAGAACGCCTACTCTACAACGTCACGCTTTTTACGCTGTACTGAAACCCCTGGAAATAAGTGACTTCCCGTCGGCATGAGCAAGAGCAGCAGCATGAGTGTGAGCATGAGCAGTGTGAGCATGAGCAGTGTGAGCATGAGCAGTGTGAGCATGAGCAGTGGGAGTATGAGCAGTGGGAGCATGAGCAGTGGGAGTATGAGCAGTGTGAGTATGAGCAGTGGGAGTATGAGCAGTGTGAGCATGAGCAGTGTGAGTATGAGCAGTGTGAGCATGAGCAGTGTGAGTATGAGCAGTGTGAGCATGAGCAGTGTGAGTATGAGCAGTGGGAGTATGAGCAGTGTGAGCATGAGCAGTGTGAGCATGAGCAGTGTGAGCATGAGCAGTGTGAGCATGAGCAGTGTGAGTATGAGCAGTGTGAGTATGAGCAGTGTGAGTATGAGCAGTGTGAGCATGAGCAGTGTGAGCATGAGCAGTGTGAGTATGAGCAGTGCGAGCATGAGCAGTGTGAGCATGAGCAGTGTGAGTATGAGCAGTGTGAGCATGAGCAGTGTGAGCATGAGCAGTGTGAGTATGAGCAGTGCGAGCATGAGCAGTGTGAGCATGAGCAGTGTGATTATGAGCAGTGTGAGCATGAGCAGTGTGAGTATGAGCAGTGTGAGTATGAGCAGTGTGAGTATGAGCAGTGTGAGTATGAGCAGTGTGCGTCAGCCGTAGCATGAGTGCAGTGCGAGGCATGAGTGCAGTGCGAGGCATGAGTGCAGTGCGAGGCATGAACTTCGTCATGAGCGCCAGCGTTAGCATCAGCTTGGCTGCATGAGCAAATGAGCATGAGCAGCATGTGCAGCATAAGCATGAGCAGCATGAGCAGCATAAGCAAGTGCAACATGAGCGGTATGAGGAGCAGCATCAGCGTCAGCGTCACGATCAGCAGGAGCGCCAGCATGTGCGTCAGCGTCAGCTGTAGAATTAGCGTCAGCATGAGCAGCATGAGCCGATGAGCATGAGCAGCATGTGCACCATAAGCATTCAGCAGCATGTGCATGAGCGTCAGCTTGTCATGTGAGCGTCAGCAACATCGTCAGCAACATCGTCAGCGTCATCGTCAGCATCATCGTCAGCATCATCGTCAGCGTCAATCGTCAGCGTCATCGTCAGCGTCATCGTCAGCGTCATCGTCGGCATCATCGTCGGCATCAGCGCGGCGTGAGCGTCCGCGTGAGCTTCGGTGTGAGCTTCGGAATGACCTTCGACATGACCTTCGGAATGACCTTCGGAATGAGCTTCGGAATGAGCTTCGGAATGACCTTCGGAATGACCTTCGGAATGAGCTTCGGAATGAGCTTCGGAATGAGCTTCAGAATTAGCTTCGTCATGAGCTTCAGCATCACATCACTAGAGTTCTGTATCTAAGTAATCCCACGGCAGAACTAACCCAGCCACAGACATTGAAGCTCTTTTAACTACCCGGACCAAACCATTTTGATAATTACAGGGGTAATCACAAGACTTCTCATTCTATTACAGCAAACATAAAAGGGGAAAATATATACAGCAATACACGGACACGAATGAACATAAGAATAACATTTATTCATAAAGCAACAAAGAAAATACACTTAGACATTCATACATAAAACACCTCCTTTAAACACATGTGAATTAACACACAACCTCAACTTATATTGTCCTGAAAACTACATTTCCCATAGTTCTCCACGAGATATAAAGGACACCAGGAAAAGGCCGCACCCTTTTTTATTCCAGACTGTTCCTTGCTGCTGTCATGCATCCCAGCTAAACCAAAGGTAAGATATATATAACAAACTTAAATAAAACTCCTGCCGATCGACTGTCCTGCACAGTTCATCTCCAACCCAAATCAAACACAGCTGCCTTTAATTTTCAAGTGATCCTGAAGACCTTAAATGGTTTCTTTAGGTGTGTTTGATTAGGTTTGAGATAAACTGCAGGACAGTAGATCGGCAGGAGCAGACACACTTGGACTACGTTTACACGGAAACGATACTGAAGAGAAAACGCAAAAGTGGCGTTGTGTCATCACCAGAGTATGGGAGTGGAGTGGGAGCGGAGCGAGGAGTGGAGCGGCATGATTTTGAATGGAGCGCGGAGCGGATTTTTTAAAAGTCGGAGCGTCGTGGTTTTCACTCGCTCCGAGCGCGCTCCACTACCGCTCTATCACGAGGACAATTCATGCCAACGGCTCATTATAGAACTGAATTTTTAGTAAGGATTCACGTGTTAAACACATTACGCTAGCATGACACAGATGGATCACTCAAATCAGAAAAAAAATGTGAGGGTTATGATGACGCCGATGGACATGAGTGGCTGCGGGAGGTTATGTTATCAAGCCTGTACTGAATATGAGCGGGCGCCACGATCTCATGAAAGTGCGAATCTATAGCACACATTTTATTTCTCGTGCCTATTATTATATGCCAAAAAATTGTTTGTGCGTGCAAATGACGCACACTAAACCCCTTGGTTAGGATGGGTGTGAAGTGCGTTCTTGCCATTAAGTGCGTATCGTAGGCTATGCCCACGAGAAATAAAAGATAGCCTACGCACTTTCATGAGATGGGGCGCTGGATCGGGCGGGGTGAAAGCACATTTTAAACAGGTAACACTTTTTCACCAACGCAATCGCTTTCTCACTAATGCATTGCATTCAAACAAATGTAATCATACAGTCGGCTACCTGTCAGTATTTGATTTTAAATGAGCATGAATCTGTGAGAAATGTAGCGACCCGTAGATAAATAACTGATGAAAACGTAGTTTTTTCTTCTTTCCGAACAAAATGTGCTCTGCAAAAAGCAGCAATGATATTTAATTTATAATGCTGATAACCTGTAATAAGCATAGCATATGTCATAGGAAAAGTTTGCACACTATCCAAATCCAATAAACAACAATTGCAACTATTCTCCTAACGTTGTTTTTTTATTTATTTACTATGCCTATGTATCTATTATGATGAGGAGACATTTTGTGAGATTTTAAAGCATACTTAAATACTTTATTCGGAATTTCCTTGGGGAGCGAACACGGAGCGGTGTTTCTGATATCAGTGAGCGAGGAGTGGAGCGGGAGCGGTAAATGGTGAACCCGGAGCGGAGTGATTATATAATGCTTGGAGCGTGGAGGGGAAATGGTTGCCGCTCCACTCCGCTCACATACTCTGGTCATCACTTTTTATTCTGCGTTAAGACGAGCGTTTTGTGTAGGAAATCCGCGTGCAAACGGTGACGCAAAGTGTGTGAAATTCAATGTAGTATGCACTTCAGGCGGCTAGGAGTGCATACTACAACAACACCAAGTCCACGCGCCTGCGTACAAACTTCACAGTCAAGCAGACTTTTGCGTTTTTACCGTTTACTCGGGAACGCGGCGGTGGAGAGTTTTTGAGGCTATGTTTACACGGAAACGATTCTGAAGAGAAAATGCAAAAGTGGCGTTGCGTCATCACTTTTTATTCTGCGTTTAGACGAGCGTTTTGTGTGTGAAATCCACGTGCAAATGGTGACGCAAAACTGTGTGAAATTCAATGTGGTATGCACTTCAGGCGGCTAGCAGGCGGCTAGCGGTCGGCTAGCAAGACCACGCGCCGGCGTACAACTTTCACCGTCAAGCAGACTTTTGCGTTTTTACCGTTTACACGGTAAAATTGTCAATTTCATTTCGAGACGGCTGCCGAGTGAGCGAGTGCTGCGAGATCTCTGCTGGCTCAATCCTTTTGCCTACTAAGCGTATTAAGATTTCCACTTATCTTTCCAAGTATTTGGTGCCATTTGTCATTGTTATATACGTGGTGAATCAAGAAAGAGATACTAAAGCGGCCTGTAGCTTCAAATCTACGAACTCTGCGATCTCACTCTTCGTTTTGTGCGAGTGGAAAAGCTGCCTTCACAATGGGTGAACCAACGGGTGAGCTAACTTACTCTTCAAATTATTTTCAACATGATGCAGCAAATGAAGCATGACATGATCTCGCACATTGACTCCAAAATAGACTCACTTCAGAAAATATACCCCCAAACCGTGAGTTTTTTCCTTTAAATTGCGCATGCGTAGGCCCGCGGTTTCTTATTGAGTGAGTGTGGGCGACGCTGGATCCTCTCTCTGGCTGCCATCGAACAGCAGAAGTGAAGGTAAGCTATTTACATAGGAGTGCATATATATTTAATTATGAGACATTACACTTCGCTTTAATTGGGCTTTCGTTTGTTTAACATGTCATTATTACTTGAAATTAAAGTTTGAATCTGTCGATGGCGTCACCATGGCGGAACACATCAAGCCGACGGTAGGCCGTTGGGCACAGATTTCAAAGTTACAAATTATACATTATTAAACATATATAAGACTCAGGTTTCAGTATTTGACCACTGTTTCTGAGAAACTTATAGTGACGGTTATGTATTAATTAATTAAAGGAGTTATGCTCCTTTAGCTCAAAAATATGCAGATTCTGAGAAATATTTATTGATTATCATAGGTTTCTGTCAGATTTCTGTATAACGTTAGAGGAATTATATTTATTGAATACACCCAAAATGGGCGGATGTAATCATACAGCCCATTCTCACCCCCAAGGCGTCACTTAACTGACGCCTTGGGAAGCATTTGGACATGCCTCAATATCTGACGCTTTAGGCGCCCTTTAGCGTCAGTTAGATGACGCCCTAGGATCGCGTGTACCCTACCCCCACCCCACACCTAAACCTAACCGCGTCATCTAACTGACGCTTTCCTTTAGCGTCAGTTAGATGACGCCGTAGGATCGCGTCATGTAAGTGACGCTAAAGGGCGCCTAAAACGTCAAATATTGAAGCATGGTCAAAGGTGACGCCTTGGGGTGAGAATGCGTTGAATCATAGCGCTGGATACTCCTCGGATGTAGTGTGTTTTCAATACACACTGGCAGCCGGCGGGCGGCTGCCAGTTAAACATAATAAATTATGTTTGTGTGCGGGCATACCATCGCTTTTTTACTTGCCATTTTTGTATTTCCTTCCACCTCAAGAAAACGTGATGTGTATATAAAAAAAAGTATTGCTTTCACAAGCTTCGTTTTAACCCCCTTTTATAATAATTTTGAAATTTTACTTTAAGGTGGGAAGCCAACCAGAGGGGATGGGGAGCAGCTGGTCGCCCTTGACCAAATTAAAAAGGCATCATTATTGGTGAGTAAATGTATAAAAGTTTTGTTTTCCCTTCTCAACGCATTAGGATTTTATAAGTTCACCACTTTAACCATAGCCTACTTGTATCAATGTTTATTAGGCATCAATGGAGACTGTATAAGGGATTATTGTTACTATATCTGCTTGGAACCTACAATACTAATTCATCGCTTGCTCAGTTCTTGATCCTAACTTTCCTTTTCTTAAGCCACGTTTCTGATTTTTCAGAATCTTCCAATTGACATGTTTACATGACGCATTTTTTAAAATGATCAGCCTTTTATCAAAAAATATGTGTCCGATCACATCTGTACTGTAAGCACTTTGGGTTCCTGATGAAGTACTATATTCTTCTTCTTCTTCTTCTTCTTCTTCTTCTTCTTCTTCTTATTATTATTATTATTATTATAGTGTCTTATTATTTTTGTCTTCTCTAGATGCTACATTGAAGAAGTGGCCGTCAGCCAGCCGAGGGGAGATGGGCACGTCTATCAATTCAAAGCTCATGGAGCTGAGAAGATCAAAAAGTTTTTTTTTTCTATCCAGTTTTTTTGTCTTATTTTTGTTTTTGTACTATTTGATCTTAAGTAAATAAATAATCTAAATGCACACATTTTGGACTATTATTTATGTTGCTTAGTAGCTATGGATTTTAATAATTATTCTAATATAGGTAAACATGTTGGTGCATGTATAGGTGAACATATATGTTCATATATACATGTACTTGTATAGGTACATATATGCATGTATATATGCACCTATATGTGTACATATATGTGTGCATACATGTACCTATATAGGTGCGTATATATGTGTACATATATGTACATATATGTGCATATATGTACATATAATATAGGAAAACGGCCAATTTTATATATATCACATATATTAAAAACATATATCAAAACCTATATTAAAACATATGTTTATATAGGTTTTTTCCATGTGGGTATATATACATACACTGTAAAAAAATATATTTTCAAGATTTGTTATCACAACATATTTTCTTTTGTCAAATCAACTTTATAATAATTTATTTAGTTGAGGTAACTTATTATTTTGAGTTTCTGATGGTTAAATGAATCTACTTCATTGTATTAACTCACTTTTTCCAGTTCAATCAACTTAAAATTTTAAGGCAACCCAGGTTACTTACTTTTTTAAGTTAAACCAACAATATTTTTTACAGTGTATATATAAACCAACTAAATAAATTATTTAAGTTGATTTGACAAAAGAAAAAATGTTGTGATTACTATAGTAATCACAACATTAAGACAACCAGGTTACTTGATTTTTTAAGTTAAACCATAAATATTTTTTTACAGTGTATTTTTATACTGTAAAATTTTTATACAGTGTATTTTTATACTGTATATATATATATATATATATATATATATATGACACCCATGCTAAAGTTGCATAAAAAGAGGAATAAAAAAATCATCATTTGGAAATTTATCTTAATGCCTTGAAATGAGGAAAAATCCAACCTTTAAAGACACCAATTTTTTTGTGTATGAATAATGTATCATAAATAAATACATGTTCTTCCTTAAAATACAGGGTGCATAAGTCAGGACACCCCTATGTTAAATTCCCATAGAGTCAGGCAGATTTTTATTTTTAAAAATCAGCTATTTCATGGATCCAGGCTAATATGCATCCTCATAAAGTTCCCTTGGCCTTTGTAATTAAAATATCCCCATCATCACACACCCTTCACCACACCTTGAGATTGGCATGGTTTTATTTCAGTTAGCCTAAGGTTTGATTTGCATTTAAAGATGATCTAATGGAAAGTAGCCCAAGCCAATCTCTAAGGTATGGTGAAGGGTGTGTGATGATGTGGGGATATTTCATTCCGAAGGCCAAGAATTAATGTCTATTAATAATTGCTTATTTTAAATTATTGTCTTCAGACTGAATAGACATTGTCATCCTTGAATAGACATGAAAAAAGTATATTTTTAAGTCAATGTGTTGTGTTTTATCTCCATTTTGCAATATATCTTGCAATTAAGTTCATCAGTCTATCAGTTCAAGGTCAATTTTACAGTTCTAATAAAATTTCCAGTCATCTCAAGCGACAACAGGGGTAGTGAATCGAGGGAAATGAACTCTTATCCTTGTTTTATTCTGCGGAACAGGGTCAGAAATGGTGCAGGAACTGACCATTTTTTGGAAGAAATAGTTTTGAAGTTAGATGAAAGTCTATGGTGTAATTTAGATAATTTGAAAGTTTTCTCTGAAGGGACCTGACCTCCCTTGACTCCAGCGTCGCAACTTGTGGAATCGGTGCCCGTTTTAGTAGTGTTTGCAGCTGAATGTAATCATGCCCATCAGCTGAATGGAACCATGCCCAGCCATCTAACAAATGCCAATTTATTGTGCAGGTAAAGATCCTGGCTCGAGTTCACTTTTAAGTCTCTGTCAAACATGACACAAAAAAGGGCAGTAAAAAAAAAAAAAAAAAAACCACACACACTCACTCATCTTGTTTGTGTGCAACATAATGAGATTACTGATTTGGGAGAAAACTGTTAAGCCTGGTGACACATTGTGGAGGGAGATCGTACATTAATCCTCGGTTTATAAGGATGCTTAAGTCATTATGCATGTGGAAAAAGATTAAAATGCATATATTCATTAGTCTTGGGACTGTTAAACAGAACTTGGCAATATTGCTGAGAATCCATTTTTCACAGTTCCCTTCACTTCCTACCAACATTTCTGATTCCTATCAAACCTGGCAGCATTTGTGACGCTTTAAAGACGGCTTGTTTAATGTCGTACATGCTAATTAGCATCACAGATGAAGAAAATAAAAAAAAAACACTGCATATCTGCACTGCTTTTAGTGGTATTCTCAAAATATTTGACGCATGAAAAAAGCTGTGATTTTTCACAATGTAACAGCAAGATAGGACTGTGAAGAGAGTGTTTTGACAGTTTTAAACCGAGCTGTGCGATTTTAGCGGGTGTAAAGGTACTTTTGTCTCTCGCATTGACCTCTGACCCCAACTGTTACCATGACGACACGTGATCTTGTCTATCCATTAGGGATGGTGAGATTCACCGATTCGCATCTTTAAATAAGTGTGCATCGGATACAAGTTGGCATTTGTATCGCGATGCACAGTAATAGTAGTGAAACGTATTGCATTGCATCGGTAGCTTCTTTTATGTATCTTTAATGTATCATATCGTTGGCTATGCATCGAGATCGAGCTATTTATTTATTTACTTTTAATTTTTGCCACAACCCATGTACAACCACTACAGCAATTATTTTATCGGCGGGAAAAGTTTGCACAGAAATTCAAGATTTTTCCCATCCTCACCGACCTTGTCTTAAAACTGATCATACGATGCAACGCCTCCTCAATGCTTTGACGCATGCGACGGCCGCGGTGCGACACTGGTGGCTTGTGTTGCCAGATTGAGTGTTTGTTTCACTACATATTAAGGCCTGTTTACGTGTGTTTTAGCCGGGTTTTCGTCTGGAAGGCTCGATAGAAATCTGGCACCCTATTGAACGAAGAGAGAGACACCATGAACGTGTTCACAGAAACGTTCATCAGCCAGTAATACAGTACGTTCAGTTCACGCTCGCCCAAAATATGAACGAGTTCAGGCACAACGCTGCCATCAAGAAAGGCCAAGCTTTTGTGACACCAATTAAAGTGTGAGAAGAAAACAGAGATGCTTGACAGAAATCTGTCTGTAATTTCCCTGCCATTAACAGTAACACACTGCTCTGAGGAACACAGACCTGCATATACTAGCACTCTGAAAGTTTCCCAGATGAAAATTAGTCATCATAAGCAATTCATAAGCTGAAAAGTCATCATTTTGGCTGTGCTACTTCAAAGCTCTGTGTGCCTGGCTGTACTTGGATGCAGACCATACTAAATCCTTGAATCATGGGACAGTATGGAAATTTACAGTTCATAGGAGTATCTAACAGAAATGCAGATATTGAAGAATTTCCTCACTATACCTAATATTAATCCAAGTATTGCCTGCAGTGTTACTTTTAAAAGTGACGTGTGACAATATTGCGTTACTCCCTAAAAAACAAACTGCTTTACTGGGTGCTTTCACATCTGTAGTTCAGTTCATTTGGTACGGGCCGAGGGGGTTTTGGTTCGTTTTCACACCACACTGATTGCTCTGGTCCGAATCAGTTGATGAGTTGATGAAACAAACCAAAATACTGTCACGTGACAACATCCATATTAAAGCCCGACCGATAAAGGATTTTGAAGGCCGATACGATACAAATATTTTTGGGTTTTAAAATCCGATATTCCAATATATCGGCTGATATTTTTTTGTATTAAATATTGTTGGATTTCACACACGTGTAAAAGAAAAGCTAACTTTTCTGCACAAGATACGTTTGATACCTTTTCTCTATGTCTAAATGTTCACTCCTCACAACTTGACTGTAACTAGAGATAAGCAGTAATCATTACTTTATTTAGGCAGAAAAAGTTCATTGTTGTTTCCAAGCTCATTAATGTTAACGTTAGCGGTCTTCCACTGATGATAGTGGCATTAGCTAGCTTTGTGGTTAGCTAGTCTATGATGAGCCATAATTTAGCAATAGATAACATCATACTGCAAATTGTAAAACATACATTTTCAATATAACAGGCCAAGGAGAGATGATTGAAGCGTGTTTTGTCTATTTTTATTTTATTTCTTAAATATTCATTTATCGGCCATTATACCCATATTTACCGATATTTACCGATTTACCGATATTTTGGAAAATGCCTAATATCGGCCCATAAATCGGTCTGGCTCTAATCCATATTACTCGTTGGCCAGATATGTCTTGAACATATTTCCATATCTACACTTTGATTGGTCAGAACGTGCGTGAAAATTCCAACAGAACTCCTGGAAGTAAACAAAGAGGATCAAGCAAAATCCAGCTGACATGCGGAGAATTCACTCACAATGTATGTTCAGAATCAACACGAGCTTTATCCATTCGCAAATCCCCTCATAAACAACAATGTATAGACGCGATATAAATAATAGATTCACTGTGCAGTCCGGACAACTTCAGTGTTTATGATGAGAGTTTTAGTGAGAGTGCAGAACACGGTCAGTTATTGGCCATTGGCTATAAAAATAATATTTTTTTTTTACTACGGCAGCTGGTTTAGTCCAAAAATGCGCAGTTATTTGGCAATTTGGTCTGTTCGAGGTCGGATCACGTTCTCACCACAAACGAAGAGTTCGTTTGAAAGCGTACCTTGTACGCTTGTTTGGTGCGCTTTTGGTGCGCACCCGAGTGCACACCTGCCCAGACGAACCGCACCATGGGGTAAAACGAACTCTAGTGCGATTTAACCAAACTAAATGAGGCAGGTGTGAAAGCACCCTTAGTTATGAATAGTTTTGTTGTATTTTTACATCTGCAGTTCATCAATGGTAGGAAAAAAAAAAAATCAGATCAGTGGCCATAATGATTGCACACACT